TACTAGTATATATATATATATATATATATATATATATAATAAACACTGTCATTACAACAGACATATTATCTTTACCAGCCCTTGAATGGGATTCGATATAAAGCTCTTTAAAAGAAAAGTTTTATCTATAACTAAATGCTGAATTCCATTTATTTGCATGAAAGCATTTAAACTGAATAATGCTATACAGTCTTACAATGGCCAATTCCCATGTGCTTGTAGCATTGACTCAGTAGCTAGTTGTGTTGGCAATTTTGTATGGTTTTGTGTATTCATCCCTACCTTGTTTCTGTACTTTTTTACATTGCAATTCCTACACCATTCTTCTTCTTTTTTTTTCAAAAATAAATTAATTGTTGCCCCCCCCCCCTTAAACAACCAATATTAATGAATGGTAGTCGTTCTGAAGGCAGCAGTTCCTGGCATGATGAGTTGTCTTAATAGATAGCGTGTTGAAGTTGGTGAAACGCTATACTGCTTATGCACTTCCCAAGTTAAAATGCAACATTTTCGTGTGTAAATCATCGCAACAACTTCAAGCATTGGTGAGCTAATAACCTTTCTGACGCTAGACTCACAATAATCAGCAAAACATTTGACAGTTACACTACTTGTCGTTCCTCTACTTTAACGATGTTTTTGACTAAACTGAAGGTCTTTATAGCTTTTGAAAACCTCGAAAACCTAAGTTAGGTGTTAATAAAAGTCTCTTAGATTGTTATAAGAAAGATTTTAGACTATGATGAGCAATACATAATATGCTACAACCATCCCCACATACCGTGCTTACTGAAAATATGAGCTTGCTCTGAGTTTACGTTCAATCTACGTATACAGATCTACTAAGTTAAATGTGAAATATTAGCCTACATAATGTGTAAAGTTTAGTATACTCTAATCCCTTATAGTGATGGCACACGACGAGACACACATTCGGCATGCAATGCTGTTTGGATACAAGAAGAGAAACAACGCCTCTATAGCCACAAATAATATCAAAGAAGTTT